GCTGACGGCAAAGCAGCGTAATGACATCTTCTGATTAATATTCAATTATCCATGTGAGCAAAATTATTTCAAATTAGCAGTAAACGGTTTGTTAAATATGACACGCAATAACTCTCCACATTTGTTATGAGCTGCAGGCTTTAAACTGTCATGTATCAAGAGTATTCATCATGTATTTCAATATCATTGTATTTAGTTCTACATTTAGAAAAGATTTTCTTTATTAGTTGCCGTTTTTTTAATCTGTGAATAAAGAAGCATTAAATCGCTGTCATATTAACTGTCAAAACATGTTTGACTCCTTAAATGTTTTATTGCTTTTAAAAAAGTCACATATTGTGCATTTCTATTATACACAATTTGTACTAAAGCGATCTAAAAAGTTCATATCAATAAGTTTTCTCTTTGCACCACCAGGTGGCCGTCTTTGTACTTTCATTTCGAGTGTGCAGATTGCATAAGTTTTATTAATATGTATAACTTTATTCATTTTATTAATAACTATAACTTTATATAGGCTATATAGTTTAAAAATATGTACCATTTTCCCAAGTGTATATAACTACTACTGTAAGAAAATATCAGAAATTGGAACATACTTTCTGTATTATCTTTCTGTATTATCTTTGCTTGAACTGAGCCGATCTAATCCTGTTTATGTGATTTGAACCTGCTCCCGATCAGGTTTGACCTAGCAGAACTGTTGCTATGACAACAACTCGGATCACCTTTGAAGAACGAAACGATCCTGGATCGTGTCAAATCATCAATATCCAAATCCAGCTAACTGAGTAATCCACGTACGAAGAACGGACCCCTGTAGGCTTACACGCAATAACTCTCCACATTTGTTATGAGCTGCAGGCTTTAAACTGTCATGTGTCAAGAGTATTCATCATGTATTTCAATGCATATCATTGTATTTAGTTCTACATTTAGAAAATATTTTCTTTATTATAGTAGCCATTTTTTAATCGATGTACCCAGCCGGCATTTCAACGGTGATTCAACGTTGAATCAACGTCAGGTCAATGGTTGGATCAACGTTGAATTACCTTTCGATTTTGCAAATTGGATCAACGTTTATATAGTGACGTTGTTTCACCGTCGGACCACCACCGGTGATTCACCGTTGAAATCACAACGTTGTTTCACTCTTACCTTCTTCATGGGTGAATTGTGGTCGTTTTGTAGACGTTGAATGAAGGTTGAATTATCTTTCGATTTTGCAAATTGGATCAACGTTGATACCGTGACGTTGTTTCACCGTCATACATTTCAACGCAAGTTAAATAGAAATTACATACAACGCAAAGTCCATAAATATAGCAAACAAATTGTTACTAATAAAAATACACGACAAAAATACACAACTTAGCCTGTGTATCAATTTATTTAATACACACCTCATTATTTCATTTATTCTAAATATACAGCAACATTTACAGCATACATAGTTCATTAAAACCATGCAGGTTACTATACATGCTGTACACTCAAATACAGAAAAAAAAAGGCATACAATTAAAGAGTCACTTTTTAATTAGGTTTCATGAATTAAAGTTAATGTTTACTAACATGAACAAAGAACAAATACTTGTACAGCATTTATTAATCATTTAATTAATTGAAATATGTCCCGATGCTATTAAAATCAAAATGTATGCTTGTTAACATTAATGCACTGAGCTGACATGAACTGTACTTTCTTTATATGAAAGATACTTCATTGTTCTGTTCATGTTAGTAAATACATTAACACTTACTAATACAACCTTTTTGTAAAGTGTTACCATCTTCAGAAAGACAGATACTAACTAAATGAAACTAAGTAACTAAACTACGCTTCAACCATCACAGTCTCCAAAATACAATTCTGTTTACAAAGTTTACAAAATACCCATTTTTAAAGTGGCTGCAGTAAAAAAAATAAATAAAAAACATCACTCACAACTAAGAATCACAAGTGAAATACATTACATCTGTTTGAGGTTTTATAAGTTGAGAGAAACACTTGAGGTAAAAGATGGCACTGGGGACAAAGAATCATGTGTAAAACACTAAAACATCTATATCAGTCTAGCAGTTAAATACATATTTATTTCTCAAACACCAGGTGAGTTTCCTACAAAATCAATAACGAGGTTTGCTATTCCAATTCATTGTGAATGAATGGCTTCACTTTCACAATAGTGAAAACTCATGCTATAATCTAAACCTGACATTACTCCTTCACTTTGCAGGTCTGCATGCTAAATATTTAGTAGTTTTTTTTTTTTTTTTTGCATAAAGTACATCTATTGTGTTTAGCATTACTGCAGCAAAACTTAGCACCTGTGACAGTGGAACATGTAGACAATTATTTCAGTAAATCATCAAGAAAATGTGTAGAATATATGGTTTGATTCTCTCTCACAAACACAACAGTAAAAGCAATTTGTTATTCCATTATTATTAGTATCATAAAAATTGCATGTTCACAGTGGTCTTATAATAATGGCTCACATTTGTGAATGTAGGACCACTATTTCACTATTACATGTCACATTAAGTGTTCATATAGGTTCTGTTATTAATTACTTGTGTCATCCCAGAGACCTGTTAATCTTCAGAACACAAACTAAAATATTTTAGATTAAATGCTCCTCATCCTCTACAGACAGCAATGGTCCCAAGATGGTCATCGTCAAGATAAGGCACAAAACACATTGTCAAAACGTTCCATGTGACTTCAGTGATTTCAACTGTGAACATACCAAGCTCCAACAACACTTTAGTGAGGCAAAACAAAACAGTAAATACAAATATGTTTGCATATATCTCTCCCGCATCAGATCAGCGTGTGTGTTTACTACGAGCAGTATGCACACACCATGACCTGTTGTGGCAAAGGCAAACAAGTTATTTTTACAGTACTTACTGTGATTTAACCTTTATGACAAATGTACTGGACCTGTTACACATATATCACTATCTTTTATGAACACAAATTTCACTGTAACGGATGCTGTTGTTTTGCTCCAGTTATACCTTTAGAGAACACCGTACTAGTCAGACATCCATACAAAAGCAGAGAGTTTGGTCTTGTGTAGCAGAACTGCAATAGATGTCTGTCTGTCTAGGCTGACACTGGTTTAGGCCATCAGTATGTCCTTGATGCCCTCAAATGGAGCTTCCAGAAAACCTGCAATAAATGAAATACGAGGTTACAACTAAGTTGGTATCTGCTATTATACAAAGTGAAATTCAAATATTTATTTTTTATTGAATCCAAATTTGTCTTATAATAATCGCCACACTCAATAATTTTGACTCATCCATCTGAATATTCCTAACTAAGAGAAGTGAAGAATTAGGTGTGATATCGTCAGGAAGCCCTTCGCCACCACCGGTGCCAGCATTTCCAGAATTCAAATTTCAGATTCTCGAAAAAATTTCTTTTTTTTTTTTTTTTTTAACAAAGGCTGCAGTAAAGAACCATGAAACATTCAACACATATAATAATTACAAGTTGTTGTAAACCATTACATGTACTGTAAAAGCTGTTTAAAGCTTTTTAGACATATGGTTGAGAAAAACTCTAGAAGGAGTAGCACTTCTGCAAAACTCTGCATGTAGGACAGAAAATTAAAGCGATAGTTTAAAATTTGTATTCTGTCGTCATTTACTGACCACGTTGAACACAAAAGAAGATATTTTGAAGAAAGCTGCAAATCTATAACCATTGAATTCTATAGTATTTTTTTTCTACTATGGAGGTCAATGTTTACAGGTTTTTAGTTTTTTTTTCAGAATAGCCTCTTTTGTGTTCAACAAAATAAACTCATAATGGTTTTAAACCATTTGGGGAGTAAAATGTGAGTAAATTTTCATTCTTGAGTGAACTATCCCTTTCAGTTGGGAAACACCAGAATTCTTAAGTAGACCCTTTTCGCAAGACAGATGATGCATTTCATTTCTCATCTTAATCCTCAAGTTTTTAATATTTAGATTTATTTAAATAGCATGTTTATTTATTTGTTTTAATGACATTTAATAAAAACAACTTCTCAATGACATCACATGTACTGGACCTGCTACACATGTATCACTATTTTTATAAATACAAATTTCACTGTAACGGGTGCTGTTGTTTTGCTCCAGTAATACCTTTAGAGAACACAGTAGTAGTCAGACATCCATACAAAAACCTTGGCGTGGAGTAGCAGAACTGCAGTCTGTCCAGGCTGACACAGGTTTAGGCTATCTGCATGTTCTTGATGCCCTCAACTGGACCTTCCAGAAAACCCAGAAAGTTAAAACCCATTACACCTCTTATTTGCTACTATTCAAAGTGTAATTTAAACATTAATTTCTCACTAAATACATATTTGTTCCCCAATACTGTCACATAGTAACATCACAACATGATTTCACAATAATAATATCAATATAACAATATAATATCACAACATAGCCTAACAATCAATAAACAAACAGATTAGAAAGAGAATATCACCAACCAAAGCACCAAGAAGATTTAACAGATAGGCTAGCTTAGTTAAAGGTAAAGTAAACTTACATGGACAAAGCCTTTTCCATTCAGTGCTGTGCAAGTTAGTGCGTCTCTGGAGTACGTTACATGTCTAAAAGCAAAAACAACAACAACAGTGAAACGAAAGCAGTTCACTTTGTAATAATAACACTAATGATACAGCGTATAAAAATGATATTGTTTTATAACGTTGCTCAGTAACTTTAAACTGCGTTTGGAGTTTATCGCTTTGAATTTGCCATAAAAACGCTCATTTAGACTAACGTTACACATGTGACATTACCTCGAGGTTAGCTGCGTCACCGGAGCGCAAACTAAACCAAACTGGAAAGTTTTAAATGCTTCAAAATTCGAAACACTACACTAAGTCACATTTAAGATACACTGTGTGTAAAACAAAATCGGGGGGTAAATAAAACATTAAAGCATCTAAAAACACGCTTACCTCTGAATTCTGCTGCACTGCAGGTCAGGTGTTCGTAATGGGCTATATGCACGCATTACTTCCGCGTTTTGTCTAAGGCCGCGGTCCAGCTTCCGGTCTGGGTGATTTTAAGCGGAGGTAAACAGTATTATGGCAGAGTCGTCAATATTTACTCACTGTTTGCGAGTAAATTATGGTCAACGATGTGCAAATGATTGTCCGGATGTGCTCTACAACACCGCAGAGCAAAGCTTGAGAAAGGTTTCAAGTTTTATGCATCTTCCTACCTGTGCAATTATGAAGGTAAGTTCAGCTAGCCTGAAGGCTAACTTTAGTGTTAATACTCTTACGATACGTCCATCGGCAGCTTTATCACGTAAGTAAAAATAATCATATGTGTACGTAATTCTGTCTCATAGTGTCAGGTAAAAACAGGGCAGGAATAAGATCTCAGTGAGAGCTCATTACTACCGATAGATCTATGAAGAAATCGGAGTCTCCTCACCAGCTGAGAGTAGGACAGCATACATGTGAAGTTCTGTCCCATTCATATTTTTACTGTTCTAAAGTGACCACCACTGTTCAGTTCGGATAATTACAGAAACACAGATGCTGTCTTAGCTTGTAAGCATGATTATTGAGCAAGATATATTAGGAATAAAGTAATACAATGCCGTTCCATCCACAACAGACAAATAGCACTGTGTCAATGCTGAGATTTATTGCTGAAACAGTGGAGATGACAGATGCAGTGTAACAGTGTAGATAGCATGCTTTCTATTTAGTCGATAACATTGTAATTAAATGGGAGGGTGACCCAAAACAATAAGGTGTCATTAGTTAATTTCACATCAACAATTTGTCTATTGCAATATTTATTAGTTTTTTTATGTTAATGAACAAATGCTTATTCATTGTGCTTGTTATCTCACAATGTAATAGCTAATGTTAACAAGCATGACTTTGGATTTTTATTCATTAGTAAATTAGTTTAACAATGCTAAATATTAAATAGTTATTTAATAGTGAGCAAATACATTAACTAATGAAACCTTATTTTAAAGTGTGACTAAAAGGAGCTACTTTTAAATAATTTAAATTAATGATTTACTGTGTAGTTTAATCTGATGATATTGCTGCAGATGCCTTTCAAAAGAAGATATTTTGAAGAAAGCTGAAAACCTGTAACCATCGACTTCCATAGTAGGAAAAAGAACTACTATGTATATCAGTGGTTGCAAGTTTCCTGCTTTCTTCAAAGTATTTTTGTTTGTGTTAAACATCAGAAAGAAACTCAAAACAGGTTTGGAACAAGTGAAGGATGAGGAAATAGAATTTTCAGTTTTGAGTGAACTGCCTTTAATGACTCTTTAAAAACCTATTAATATTCTTGTTTCTGTTTTCTAGGTAACATTATGAGATTCAGAGCTAGAAAATTTTATGTGTTACTTCATCCTGGAGTGGACATCCGTCAGAAGATCCATGCCATCGTCTGCTAGTTAATAGCTCCTGTTCTTGTGTGGCTGAGAGTGGGATATGCAAACATTTGGTTGCTTTGCTTTTCCAGACAGCCCATTACTCTGAAATGTGTAATGTGTGTTGTCACATGAACAATTGTTTGGAATGGATCAATTATGTGTTAAGTTCCATGAAACAGATGGGTGTTTATTTATTTATTTAATACGTATCAGCCCAAATACCTCTCTATGCACAAGTTACAGAAGAAGCACCTGATTCAAGAAAACAACTGATTCAATGTCATTGTTTCTGTTCATCTGAATAAAATATTTTTTTCAAAATGTTACATTTTTTTGACAATTTTTATTTCAAATTATATATAGTGAATTATATTTTATATGTACAGTGAATAAAATAAAGGTCTTTATTCTGAATTAAAAAATTGCACTTAGAAAGTAGCTTAAGAAATGTTTATGTATATTAATGTTCAGTTTTTTTTACTTCAAAGGCAATGAAAACAAACTATTATTTGCCATAAAAGCTCCTTTCTTTAAATGTCTGCATCCGGTTGGCACTCGACCCTTGATCAGTTTGCTAGACTGAAATTATCAGCTACACTCTTGTCTTTTTCTGTTTCTGTAAAATTCTCACGTTTAATATCAACAACCCACCTCTTCTGCACAACTTTGTCTTTTGGAAACGAGTGGAAACTAAGGTAAGAATTCAATTTTTGACGCTGTGCGTTGCTGAACACAGCAGTGGTATCTACAAGTACTGTTCTTACGTCTTTGAAATGACACTTGTAAACGTTTAGATGTCATATTTATGTAGCTGACATAAACATATATAAGTGGGCTATAATGGCATAAAACATTAAGACAACTGTCCAAAACATTACTCGTTTTTATCAGTAGCGGTCCTGTTGTAGTACTGTACTGTACGATCGGCGGAAGTAGGCTCGGGGTCTTAAATTTTACCGGAAATGCGTCACGCGCCGCCGTGCATAGAGCCCATTAAGTGAAGTGAAGCGCTGCGCGTGGCCGCGTGCGCCGAGTCCTCCGATACCATGGTAACCAAACATGTTGAATATTGGGTGAAGCCATGACGTTAATTCAACATACAGATCATGATAAAAAAAAAATGTCAACGTTGATTTGTACAAGGATTTCTGTAACTTTTTTCAACCATTTATCATTCAACATTGTTTCAACATTAAAGCAACAACTGACGTATTTTCAACCACATTTCAACGTTGAAGCCTTGTCATATGCAGGCTGTTTTTCAACCGTTCAACATTAAACGTTCTATCAACATTATTTCAACGTTCAAAACACATCTGACCTTATTTCAACCATATTTCAACGTTGAAGGTCGGTCGTGTGCCGGCTGGGTAAAGAATAACTGGTTGTTTACAAAAGCATTTTGATATTGGTAAAGGCGTCTGCAAATTTTGTGAAGCATCAAATCACTGGCATATTAACTGTCAAAACGGGTGACTATAAATGTATTATTGCTTTTAAAAAAGGTCACATATTGTGCATTTCTATTTTACACAATTTGTACTAAAGCGATCTAAAAAGTTAATGTGACGGCCTGTCATATGGCCACACAAGACTAAGGGTAACAAACACACGCACACTCATTCGCTCAGACACTCACACGCACATTTGTTCACACACACACAAACACACACACTTGCATTCGCCCAGACGCGCGCGCTTACACATACACGCACGTTCGCTCAGACCCAATACTCATGCTCCTTCACCAGTTGCGGTTTAAGATTGGGGGCACGTAATATAAAAAATATAGTATTTAAGCAATGTATAAAAGGTTATTTTTTAAAGAAGTATAAATATATTTTTACATAAAATGCACACAAATATTAAATAAGTACACACTAGACAAAATAAGAGTGGGCCTATGTAATATATAAGTGCTACTTTAAAAGGCTACATATTAACACACAAAAATTAAATAAAATGAGGGAAAGAGAGAGTACCCATGTAACATTTACAAAAATATATACAGCAATTTGTACTTTATTCTGGAGCTGGAGTTTGTCCTATATTTTGCTGGCGCTGTTCTGCCAACCAGTCCTCTAAGGATTTGCCATTTGAAGTTTGCAGGCAAAATGTGGCATTACCAAATCGGCTATGGCCAAACTCCTTAGTCTTGGGTTGCCCACATTTGCTGCAAACATCAAAAGTAACCGCACGCACATACTTCCTTTTGTGGACTCCACTTTCCTTCTCCTGTTCCCGTCTGCGCCTGTTCCTCTGGGTGTAACGGGACACAGGAACAGCAGGCCGGGTGGAGCAGGTGCAGGTGGAGGAACAGCAGGTGCAGGTGGAGGAACAGCAGGTGCAGGTGAAGCTGGGACTGCACTGGATGTTGGTGCAGCAAATGATGGAATCACCATTGACACACTCATGTCTGGGTTAAAAACAAGTGTGCCAAACAATGATCCAGGTCCTGAAATGGGCTTCACAACACCTGGTGCTGTGGGGGGTGGTGCAATGGGGCACACCGTGCTGGGGGCCGGTGGAAAGGAGCACACCGTGGTGGGGGCAGACACAATGGGGCGCACTGTGGTGGGGGCCGGCGCAATAGGGCGCACTGTGGTGGAGGCTGGTATGATGGGGCACACTGTGGTGGAGGCTGGCGAGATGGGGCGCACTGTGGTGAAGGTCGGTGTGACGGGGCACACCATGGTAGGGGCCGGTGCAATGTGGCAGACTGTGGTGGGGGTTGGCGCGATGGGGCATACCGTCGTGGGGGCCGGTGGGAAGGAGCACACCGTGGTGGCATCTGGCAGGAAGGAGCAAACTGTGGTGGTTGCAGAAGCAGACTTTCGACCAGGTCAAAGAAGAGGTGCCTGTCCTTCTTTATTTAGAGGAAAGACAAACTGGTGTTTGGGGCCTGATGTTGATGGTGCCTTGTCCAATTTTTCCCTCGGCAAAGGAAGCTGCGTATCTGCCACAGCAATTGGATCAAGTGGAGTCAGTCCCTGAGTGAGTACACTCATTTCCTGATCCTTTTGCCTCCGTTGAAACCTGATAATAAATGATATGTATTATACATATATATTAATTTAGAAGTATTCAGGTAATTTAAAGAAAATAATGTGCTTTGCTTACCACTGAATGAGCGTCTTCTAGTTTAGCTCAAAAACCTGGATCACCGTTTCATCCATCAGCCTGCGACTGCCAAGCACCAGATCCCGGATGTGGTGGTAATCGGTCAGTATTTTAGACCACCTGGGGGTGCGAACACCAGCCTTCTTGGAAGTGGACTTGTGTACGGCACACAGCTTTGTACAAATGGCCTCAACCAAGCGGCTGGTGCTAGGCCACTGTGCTGGACCCCCAGGATGTCCAATCAGACAGCGCTTGACGCTCTCCACACCTGGAGTGACTCCGGAGCGCTTCGGTGCCTTAAAGCGCCCATGCGTCAGCTGAGGCTGATGTCGAGGCTGGTAGTTGATGCGCTGTTTATCAACATCCAGGAGAGCTGTCCACAGCTGGATGGCCCCTGTCACCTGCAGGTCAGTGAGGTAAGGAGCCTCACGAAGATCTACCAAATAAGCAGCCAGATCCTGGACCTTGTCCCACCCAGCAATGCCATCAGGTCCAATGACTACTCCCTGGTAAATACAGAATAAATTTAGTATATGTGGAATAAAAAAAGACTAAATCAAATTAAGTTCTTAATGTATCTTACCTGAGCCTCAACAGAGAGACTGTCTCCAGAGTCGGATGGCTGTGACGGCACTGAGGGGGCTCGGCTAGGAAGCTGTCCTTCTCCACCAGCTGATGTGGACGGCTCAGCCAGTGATGCTGGGGACTGAGGCAGAGGCGAAGATGAGGGGCTGTTTCTGAGATCACGGCAGGGGTCATCCTCATACAGCACTGGAACTGTGATGTCCTCCATGATCTCCTCCTCAAACCCCTCATCTTGTAGATCCTCGTCATCTACTTCCTCCACCAGCCTGTCTTCCTCCTCTGGGTTCTGGAGCACCGGAGTCAGGGTTTTGCCGGTCTGGCTGTAAAGGTACTCTATTCCCAGCAATTCACCTTAAAGAATAAAACAATAAAAAGAAAAACAGATATTAAATAAAACTAATAATAAAGTAAATATTTAGATAAACATTTTGTGAAGTACATTAAAGCTTAATAAATCACTTATATAACAACTAGTTAATGAATTTCTTGCCTGTATATGCTCCAGGAGGGTGATAACGGTTATCCCAGGGCTTCCCTAAGACTGCTCGGCTAAGCCTGTCCACAGCCTCTCTCATGGCACTGCCATATGACCGTATGGAGGATGCTCCTTTTATGGTGCTTTCCATCCGGTCATCATTCCAGCACATCAAGCCCTCAAGGAGATAGGCCTGAAAATGCGCATCACTGGCACTGGTCCCTGGAAATTAAAATAGTTAAAAATATGTGAAGAAATAATTAACATGTTATTAGGTTATGTACTAACATTAAAATTATTGTCATTATAAACAGAGTTACTTGTCAGGCAAGACAGCTTTGTCAATGCTGATAACATCACAAATGTTATTTAAATGTTTAATAATCTTACATTAAAGCAATGGAAGTTATCACAGTGCTTATATGTTTTACAAAATAAAACGATCCAAATGTATGTAATACCTGAAATAAAACGGTTTAGGTGGAGGTGGAAGGACTCCAAAGATGTAGAGCCACGGGCACACCTGTAACAACACAGCTCCACACCGCCTTTCTTCAGTATCCCTGTCTTCATGTACAGTGGAAAGTTCTCTGGGTCTTGAATGCACTGTATATGCTTCTGCTGTTCCTTCCATATCTGCTGGATCCGTTCGTGGTCCAGCAGAGGAACACCCAGAGTGTCCTTCCCATGCTCGCTGTCAAAATGGTCCAACAGCTTTCCAATCAGACAGGTGGTCTCCTCCACACCTCTGGTCCTCCTACGGCAGTGCAGTGCTAGCTCCCTCCGGTTTATGCGAGCACTGAGAGCCGTTTGTGAAATGTGGCCAGTCTTTTTTGCCGCCAGCTTACCTTCCTTTGCCTGGCGAAGAGCGGCCACATCTTCTGGATCCCACTGAAAGATGCACGTGGACAGACGTGCCATGAAGATCCCGTAGAGCGGATGAGCTTCTGTCGTGACACCTGCAGCAAACCGACGCATAAAATGCCAGATGTCAAGGCGCACTTCAAGCTCATCCCACTCCCGAAACATGATCTTCACCGGAGACTGGCCGTGCTGACTGCAGCAATCTCTGTCCACGTACATTACTTTCGGGGCTGCCTCTCCTGCCTCCCGGTAACGCTTCATCAGCCCGGCCGCCATTGGGTC